AATATATATTCTCTTTTCTAACACTTATTTAAATAACAGGGTGCATTGGTCAAGCTTTACCCATGCTTGTGAAAGTTTCATGAGTAAATTGAGAAAATAGAATGAGAATACTTACTTGTGTGATGGTCGTTCTGCAGAAAACAAGATGGTGCTAATTCTTGTGGAATAAATGGGAAGTTCCATTTTTTTACAGGTACAACAGGTTTGGGTAACAGGGCTGTGCATAAAATGTCAGACACAGATTAAAATGCCTTCTTTGTTAAATTAAGTAAATTGTTAGGGGAAAATAATTATTTTAAGATTATGTTGTTTGGAACTGAAGATTTTAATAAATATATAATATATAGAGAAGTTCAATGTCAGTGAGATGGGACAGCCCAAAATCACCATATTAAAGGTGGTTACAGACATTTTATGTGTTTTTGTGATTATTTAAATGCTAATTTTAATCTTTTTATTTTAAGTCAAAGCACAATTGCTTTTAAAAAGGTAAAAATGTAATGGGACATCAAACTCTATTCATGGAAAGTGCCATAAGCTAGCTTTGGCCACAGAAGCAAATATTCTCGAAGGGCAGCAGAAGGCATTCCTGTACATTAAACGTCTTCTACATAATATAAGCCTCAAGAAGGTGTTTACACCTTTGTAGTCAACACAAGCAGAATAAATGCATTAGAACTCTTCTTGAGTGAAGAATCACAGAACATTTTCTAAGAAAATCAGAGTGATTGCATAGCTGTTCATATGAGGGAAGCTAATGAGCCATGATTCAGCAGAGGAGGAAAAAAACAAAGAACAAAATGCCCTTTTCTATACAAGCACTGATGGTAGGCCAAATGAGCGAGGGAGAGAAAGAAAACACGAGGCCAAGCTCGCTGCTCTTCTCATCACATCACTGCGCTCAACCTCATCATTACCATATGCTGGAGCGCTGAAGGAACTGGAACACATTCACACAGCAAAATACACACACACATATGAATAATTATCATAAAATGTCTGCTTGGTAGTTGTGGTTTCTAGCCTTTAGATTTTAGCTTTTCAGAAAAACTTCAAATCCTGGCTATGAGTCACAGCACTCAGCCCCAGTTCCACTGATTGGGGCTCACTCACGTTTCCCTTACCTCGTTATTCTTCTTAAGTGTGCATGAGAAAAGAATATGTGGACATTTAAAACATGCTCGGCTCTTTTTTCTCAGTTGGTGGTGTATAGATAAAAGGCAGCTGGAGAACGCTTAAAGCAATTTATATGGTGACGCAGGTATCAGCCAGATTTAAGAGACAGGTACAGTAACCTCAGACCCATAGATCAAGCAACATGCTTATGGTTATTGTTCCTCAGTAAGACAGACTGCTTTACATGGGGAAATAAGTTTTTAGAGTTGCATTGTTTTAGAGTGCATTCTTTGCATGGTCTTTGGATGGGTTGCATTACCCAAAAATGAAGTGTTGAATTTGCTTAAAAAAGTTATGCCGAGTGATTCTGCACCACTGTGTTAAGTAGCTTTTCTGATGGTCAGTTGAATAATATGTAGTAACCTTGCTATGGTCATGTTTGGTTAAATAAAATAGAAAAAGAGCAAGGTACCAAATACAGGGGGTCCTGGGGGGTTCGGAACCCCCTAATTAACCCCTTGGACCCCCGGAATATATCAAAATCAACATTCTGGAGGGTCCCTGAAAATAAATGTATTATGTTATGCTGTCGATTAGACAAAAATAGACACTTAAATATTGATTCAGGTCATTGTTTAGCTGCATCACCCACAATCAGCAAACTGCTATCTGTATTTTTAAGTAACTACAGATGCAGCACTGGTCTGCCTCAGGGTGGCACTGTAACAAGTTGGTTCACCCAGTTCTTAATGGCCTGGCAACTGTAACTATGCCCAAGATACCTCTGACAAACTTTACAATATGCTGTAGTGTATCTGTAAATCTGAAAACTTACCAGAAGAGTTTCGTTGATAGCGTGAACTGTTACTCCTCTCTCAAACCGTTGACAAAAGAGGAAGAGATGCATAGTGAAAGGATGGCCTGGAGTGGCCAGTGCCAGCCTGGGATGAAGCATGGCCACCCATCTGGCCGCCCCAGTTATGGACAGTAAGACAGTCAGTCATCAATCAGCCATCATTAATAAATGGTCCTTCAGCAGTGCTGCTCTGTGAGCTACATTATGAGGTTGGCTATACCATGGTAAGATGAGTTCCCTATCAAAAATTAGTCAGCTATAATCATTTATCATGTTAATTTCATTTTACTTTTTAAATACATGCATATGTTGAATGTTCCCTTAAACAGTGCTGTCTGGCAAGCTTTCTAATCATTATTCTTATGTGTAACCTGTAGAGAGAGCAGCCTAAATGAATAACCTGTCTGGCTTGTCTGGCTTGTCTGTCTCTCTTAACGTAAACACTCTGCACTGAAAAAAGTGATGCTTTTCTTTTTAATTACTTGATTCAAATACAACATTTTCTCATGAATGACTAAACTGTAACATAAGTTTTTCAGTTTACTTTCAGCAATAGTTGCATTGATGTAATATTTTATTCAAGTGGAAATGGTTAACAGATTTAGTTATATACAGAGAGAAGCCAATACATCTATGTATATGTCCTTTTAATACAATGTTATTTTATGATTATTTTTTTCGAAGTCACCCCAATAAAATCTCTGGGTCATACCTGGCTACACCATTCTAAAACCTCTAGCTAAGTCCATGAGAAGAGATTTGTAAATTCTCAATAATGTGCTGAGGACCGCATTACAAAACTAGAGCAGAGCATTTCCAAAAGAAGAATTGTTAAACCAAACGTTTTGTTGCCATTGAAGCTGGCATCATTGCCGCTATGGTGAATGCTGAAACAGCCAGCCAACATGAGACCTCCTGAATACCAGGGGGAATTTCACACACTGCATAAAGGTTAGGTTAAAGTTAGATTTACATCATTTTATAATGGTGCTACTGAGCTGTCAAAGAATTACACTCAGCAGTAAATTCATTGTAACTTGCCCTAGGCAGTTAACCATAGAGTATAAGTAAGATGCACACAGAGGGGAAGGTAGGCTCGGGGTAAGACTTCACCAAGCAGGTAAGTAAAAAAAGTAAAACAGTATGCAAAAAGATGATGCCAGGAGCCAATATTGGCCAAACAAACATTTATGAAATAAAACTGACAATTCACTTTATTTTATTGAAACAACACAACTGACTCAGTTTCATTGACTTCTATGCTTTTGTTAAGTTACGTCAACAGAAGAGAATTGATTAAAATCAACACCAGAGCAACCCCCTACCATACTAAATAGTATGTCCTATATAGTATGGCATCATTAGTAGTGCATTCATTAGTATAGTACACATGGTACAGTAGTAGTAGTTGTGCATTCTTCTCTCACTCTCTCTCTCTCTGGGTCAGCTCATTTGCTAATGCGTCTTTCAGGGATGCTCCATGTAGGAAAATACACGTGACTCTGTTTTTCCTACCAGTATCTTGTTCGTCCCATGTGGCCTTATGGATTCTATTACCAGTTTGGCTGTGAATGTGTGTGTGGGTGGATATGTGTTTCTAAGAGAGTGTTGATCTGTATGTACGTCAGAAGTAGTAAGCAAAGAGAGTCATATTGCATGGAGAAAAACAACTTTTGAGAGCAGGGTGTAATGAGCATGTTTTGCTCTGTGTGGTTTCTAAGTATCTCCTGCATGTACAAAACACCTTCGGCAATATGCTGTATATGCATTATCTACTGGTGTTTTGGTTCATCTATATCCACATCTCAAACTTCCTCTTTCTGAGGCTTCGACCACTGGATTGCAGCGTGAAGGACTGTGTGGTAAACTGTTATTACTTCATGGGCCAACAAACACATGCTTCTGTCTGAAACAATTGGAGCACATTCTGCACTTACAAGGCTGTTACCAAAACATAAAGTAAAATAAATAACTAAATAAATCATTTTAAAAAGTATGATTCTAATGCAAAAAGCAGTTTTCATAATTTGCTTAGTCTGAAATGGCCAAACTGTACAGCAATGAATGCTGTCCAGCAATATTCCTCGCCTCAAATAGCTAGGAATGACTGAAAGGCTGATTTCTTCAGGATACATTGTTGCTATCTTTTAATAATAATTACTTGTTTGTAAATATTTGTAAAATTGATTGTGTTTTCATTTTATTTTTTAACTTTTTTACATGAGGGCTCACTGTTTGACTGTTCTCTAATCTAAAATGTTGACAGTCTTCCATGCAGTGTCATCTTATAGAATCCATTGTTCTTTTTAAAAATGAATATCCCATTTATCATTTATGCATGTAAAAAATAAATAGCTACAGTATACCCACAGCTATTAATAGTGATCCCAGGCAACCCTGTGAAATGTCCACCTCTTGGCCAAGTTTCAGTCAGTGGCTGTACATGAACAATGCCCCCCTTTATACTGTCAGTGAATCCAAGAAAGAGACTAAATAGGCCTTTATAATGGACTTTCTTTCATTTACTTTATTAATTTGATGCTCTTATGCAGAATTTATGCCAAATTATGCCAGTTCAGTTTCCTGCTTACAATACAACATAATAATGCAGAAATGTGAGATTTGCTTAAACATTACTATGTTTTTGAAGTGTTTAAAACTTATACCGATCTAATTTGTTATTGATTAGGATGTTTAACTTATTTATGCTATCATTTTCCCTCTTTTAATCGACTTTCTTAAATGTATGTTGATGAAATTTTAGTTCAGCATTTCTTTTATAATACAATAAAAGTCTGATTGCCTGCTGGAGGCAGCAACAAAGAAATACTCTACATCTATTGGCTGGAGGCGTGTACTCCCCCTGACCAATCAGATCACTCGGCTCAGCCGTCTCCTGGTTGCCTGGTAGAATTCGGTGAGTTGGGGAATGTGAACTGCGCTCTGATTGGTCGGCCGCGATGCGGTTGGCCACGGAAGGCTATAAATAAGAGCAGAACTCTTGCACAGTATTTTATTTGGTTTGCATGTTTGTGGGTGTGTGTCTGGAGGGTGTATGCGTGCATAAATATATAAAACCTTTTGTGACTAATTTATTTTAAATTATATCATATTTTATTACGGTAAGCTCTTCCTGCTCTTTATACACCTTTCTCTCTCATGCTGTAATAGTGCTGTAGCGCAGCTAGTTAGCTGGCTGCCTTTGTTTGCCTGGGTAGGTAGATGTAGCTTTATAGGGCTCGAACTTTTGCTCGGACTTTCTCCTTTTGTTTAGCAAATGAATCGGAATTTGGCCGAACACATTTTTACTGCTAACCTCTTTGCTAGCCGGCAACTTTTAGCTTGGTTGCCATCCTATGTTTGTTTATTTCACTCTGCATTGAAAGGCTAATGTTTAGCGAGGGGGATTTGTGGTTAAATAGAGTGCGCTCTGTGTTTTAGCTATCAGGTTGATCGGTTTCGGTGGTTAACTGTTCTGCCTGCTGTTTTCTATTTCAGCACTTTATAAGGACGAGACATTAATCTGAAGGGGTGACGTTATTCACCATGGTTGCAACAAGCACACTGACGAGCAAAAACTCAGAATGCATCTCGGAATTTATCGACCGGGGATATGACCCATCATGCATCGATAACGGTAAGACATCTGCACGTTTCTGACCGTTTAAAGCAGTGTTTTTATTACTATGTATGCTGGGACTGTGCGGCTGCTGTGAACAATGCAGGCGGTTTGCAGGGATGTTGATGCAGAGCTGCAGGGCAGAAAGAGCGGAGGGATGCACGAATGATGTCAGCAAAAAGATGAAGTCATTCCATTAGCCAGCAGAGCTCCTCTCTTAGCCCAGTTTTGCTTGGTAAGAGCTGAGGATAGAACAATGAGGGGGGCTTAAGACCGGTCAGCAGCCTTCTGTAGGTATTTTGCAAAAGGCTAGATTTAAAGGGCATTTGGCTTTTTTCTTTACACGGGCAAAGTTCTATCATTTTGTTCTTTTATGCTATGTAACTTGTGCTTGCTGTATGCTTTTGATTTCTGAAGGAAGAAAGAAACTTTTACTATTAGCAGCCCTTTATCAGCTGACATTTAAACATCTAGACACAGCCAACATATGAAAATGGGCTTTTGTTAATATGGTTTATTAATAGACACTGTCCCTAACAAGACAAAAAATGGTCTAATTGTGATGTGGGAACGATTCCTACCAAATATGTAGCCTGATTTTCTTTCTTGATTGCACCTGGTGTCATTTTCCAAATGAATATTGAAATATATCAAAATTTGAAAATATTGTGAAGCAGGAAGAAGCAGCATATGCAATAAAAATCTACTCGCCACACCGTGGTGACTGTAGTGCCTGAAATGGTTGTGTTTACCAGATCAATCCAGCAGAGCTAGATGCTACTAAAGGTTTGACTTTATGATCTCACTTTCTTCCCTCCCTGTTTTTTTCAGAGCTGGACTTTTGGGAGCGATCCCTGGCTGAGCCATACCTGAGCGTGGAAGTATGTGAGGAGCGGGCTTGCCAGCAGCTGGCACGGCTGCTCGAGGGCTGCCTGGCGCGGGCCAAGGCCAGCACGCTACGGTGCGCTCAGGTCCTGGTACCGGAGACGCTGACACGGCGGGTGGCGCGGGACATGCTGCGACTGGCGGCAAGCGAGCCGTGTGGGCTCCGCGGCTGTGTGCTGGACGTGCGCCTGGAGCTGGAGGAGCAGCAGCGCCGCTGTGAGAGGCTGGAGCGGCTGGTGTGCGACGCCAGTGTGGTGCCCACCTTCGAGCTGACGCTTGTCTTCAAGCAGGACGGGGGTGGCTGGCCCAGTCTGAGGGACTTCCTGCGTATTGGCACATGCTTCCCTCCCGGCTTCCGCCGTGCCCTCAAACTCCGGCCTGGCTTTAGACTTGTTAAGAAGAAGCTGTACTCTTCAGCGGCCGGTCCAGTGGTGGAAGAGTGCTGAGCTGATGGGTGGTGGGGTTTAAAGGCCAGAGCACACTGACCCAGCAAACACTAACGTTCTGGTGTTGGTAGTTGACTTTAGAATGTTTAGAAAAAGTGAGAAACTAAATGAACCAGTGTGAATGGAAGAGAACATTCTATAGTCATGTGAATGAGGGAAGAATATTTCTGTAACCGTGTGAATGGATAAACATTCGAAAATCTCCTGAGAATCTCCCAACAATCTCACATGGGTGCGATACACCACCCCAGTGTTTTTGTTGCGTTGGTGTGCTCTGGCTCTAAGGGTACAATGCACTTCAACACTTCTTGTGAATGTAAGGGTCTGCCTTTGGAGCAACTCCTTTTTTCCTGCACTTTTTTATACTGTTAATGTGAACTAGTTCAGTGTCGAGTACATGTTAAATTTGGGGATGTGTAGCTGAGATAACAATGGAAAATTTGATATGGTGATGGAAGTTTACTTTTTTGTAAAGCATTACTGCAGTTTCTTTTGAGCAGCTGTGCCTATAATTTTGTGCCATCTCACTTAAATTGTGTATTGGGTATTTCCAGATTTTTCTAGTATGCAATTTTTCTTGTTTACACCCTTCATTGTTGACCAGTGTTTTTCTTGGTACACAGCATTAAAACCCAACTTGTAATAAAACTGTAAATACCTTTGGTCATATGTTACCTTTTTGAAGGGGGCCATTACTGTCAGTAGAATGTATGTCATATTTCTGAATGTACTGTTTCTATCATAGTATTTGCTTCTAAAAACATACTGCTGAGGGATAACATCAGACCCCCTCTGCCAAATGTGCCACAATTGTTTAAAATTGATGGGTTCCTTTTTCTAGTAGGCATAACTGGTTAAGTGCTTGTTTAGTGCTTGACTGTAGAAGGGTTTTTAATGTTTCTAAGACATGTTCTGTCTATCACTTTTGGCTGCAGTGCTGTTCCAGCAACTGAATCTATTGTTTTAAGAAGTTCCTGTTACAGGAAGTGGAAATCCTTGTCTATTTGACAATAAACTATTTTCCAAATATCTTAATTTTAAGTCTCCCCAGTTTGCTTTGTTTTGCTCTCAGCATTGTCAACAACGACTGAATTGTGGTAAAGCTGCCATAAAGATGAATTACTACATTCAATTGAATTGTAATGGAAAATAATGGTTTTAGATCAGCACGCTGACTCTCACCAGTATCTTAAATAAGCAAGCCTTCATTCAGATCAATGAAGCTGGAAGTTTTACAATTTGTTTATGTATAAATCCAATGTAAATTCAATGTGTTAATTACCAACAGCATGTTAATGTAAAATGCTTGTTGCTGAAACCTTCAGAATAGTTTGCATCCTTCTTGCAGTTCTGTCATAGAAATGAACTGTGTCTAGTGTGAGGGACAAAAAGGTAAAATTCTTTCACTCTTTCACATAAAGCTGAAGTGATGTTTGGATCTGCTGACTAGGCAGCCTATTAAAATCAAGTTTTAAATCTGTGAAACCACTTTTAAATTTATTTTAGCTCTGTGCAGGACCATTACAGTCTTAGAATAGTGAGGGAACATTGCATTGTAGGGTGAATTGGATCCTGTAATATTCTTTGGCTGTTGTACAACCATGCAGGGAAAACACTGGAACTCATGTCTCTCACAGGATGGCTGCTTATATTTTCTTAGCAGTTTGCACCTGGCATTGTGAGAAGGCATCTTAAGGCTTTCTCAAAACATTAGGCATTTGGTAGTGTGAAAAATAACTAGGTTATTTTTAATCTCTTTCTCAAGGTCCAGGTTATACATTGATTGTTGAGTGTTGGCTATGGTTACAAGTGGTATCTGCTTGACAGCCCTGCTGTGAATTCTAGTTTTTTGGGAATCTTATAGAAACATATGCCAGTGTTCTGTATTTCAGTGTACTGTGATATAGGGACACGATATTGTTATCGTGGACACTTTAAAATGCAGTAACTGAACTTAGTAAACTGTAACTGAACAGTAGCAAAACTAGGTTACGTTAGGCTCTATGTTAAACACTGTTACATAATGATACACACAACTGACAATAAAAAAGTTCATTTGGTGTTTGAATAGTTATTTAAGTGTGTCATTGGTCTGAGCACCTTAACAGATCTGAATAAAGGTTGCAGGGCTAGCTAGAGTGGTCAGGGTCTGCTACCCAGCATGACAAACATCTTCCACATTCCCTAATATAATGGTTTTAACTGATAGTTTAGGCTGGTCAGAGTCCAGATTTTAACCCTATAGAGAATATTAGATCTCACATTAAACACAGTCTAGCTTGGTGGTGTTTTTCAACTGTTTGAAGCCATCAATGCTGAGTGGAAAAATACTGACACTTCTTTCTGTAAAAGATAGTCTGCAAGTTTACCAACAAGACTTCAGCATTTACAGAAATCAAAGCAAAAGCTATTCCATATAAAAAGTTTACCTTTTTTGTAATGATTTGTTATTTTTTTTGTGTGGGAGTTTACATGTCTCTAATTTTTAGTTCTTTTTTATGAAATAGAATTACTGTGTTTGTTGTATTTAAACTCTGTACGTATTGTAATTCTGTTGTTTCATTCATTTCTACAAAGACTACATTTTTGAAATGCCCAACAAAAAATTTAGGATTTTTTTTCTGTGTTATCTGAGACACACGCAGGCAAGCTCCCATTTTTTTCACAACCTGATTGGTTAGGACTTCAGGGCCCATATTCACAAAGTATCTCGGAGTAGGAGTGCTGATCTAGGATAAGTTCCAGTCAGTAAAGTCCAAGTAAATAAGAGAGGAATCTGATCCTACATCAGCAGTTCTGCTCTAAGAAGCTTTGTGAATACAGGCCCAAGATTCAAACTGCAGTTCCAATGTGTCAGATTCAGCACTAACATAATTAGGAACTGACAGTAGAATCAACTAATCAGACTGTGATTTACAGTGGGTGGGACCATTCTACAAGTCCTCAGTCACTGTCAGCGAGTACCAGTGGTGGCCTGACCAGCGCATTTCAGTCAGCAGTTCTAACCAAAACCTTGAACTTGAACAGCTGTTCAGATCAAGCTAACAACCTCTCAGCCTCATTTATTGAACCTGTGTAGTTGCCTTAATAATTTTAATTGTCTGGCTGGTCTTTTTCTTGTAGTGTTACCGTTATTTTGTCTTTCTTCTATATGTCTGCTGGTACCTGATTTAGCTTTATTGTTATTTATTGTTTATATTTAATACTCCAATGTTTTCTTGAGCTTGCAAAGCTTATTGCTTAGTTTCATGAGAGCTGAAAGTCTTCAAGACGTGACCACAAGCTAGTCTATGATCTTACATGACTCAATGCCTAAAAAAGAGCTCAGATTTATTCTCTGTGCTCTTTTTTCACGACCTGATCAGAGTGAGACAAGCTACCACACCAGTTTGGGATTGTTACCTGAGAAGCATGCAAATGTGTTCCAAATGTGAAACTCTAAAGAGCACAATGTAAGATTAAGTTGATTTCACACTGAATATATTGGGCACACTGTGGGCATTTTAGCATATTCTGGGTATTCAATATTCTACACCTGATACTGACCATTTTCTTACATCTTACTGATTGAAATTGCTTGGGAAAAAGTCTCCTGCCAACAAGAGTGAGCAACCCATCACAGAACACAGTTTTAGTAACTATCACTAGGCCCAGAAAGCCACTCACAGCCAAATTATTTTAGACTGCTTTTTCCAGACTGAAAGTATCAGGCTTCTTTGTAAACACTCTCACGTCTAGCATTATAGTAATCCAGGCCAAGTTTGGTTAAAAAAAGTGTCTGGGATGTTGCAGATGGAAAATATATCATTTTAATAGAGCAGATGTAATTTCATACATGCTCAGGAAAAGTCCAGTTAATAAAAGTGTTACTTTTTATGGCATTATATCATTTTATCATTTTGAACATTATCTAAATTATGTGTTTTTTTGCTGGTTGCTGATAATTTGCTTATTTTATGCTGTTTAGGCCTCAAGAAATATATGGAAAATATACAATGCAAATAAAGCCTAAAGATGAATCTGTGCAGGTTCATACAGAATATAGAGGCAACATTAATCAGGGTTGAAATGGAGTCCAGGATGTCCCTCTGGCAGATACGTGTGTAAATAGTGTGACTGCAGTGAGTGTGAGTACATCATATGACTCTACACTAATAACCTACTGAGTGTGTGTGACATTTCAGCTGGGTTATTTAATGAGAAGGCCTGTAAGTTGACGCAAAGAGGTACATACTTCTCCTCAGATGAAACCTGACTTGAGCCACTGTATGAATGTAGAGGTAATTATTTTGAAGAACTTCTACAGGGTGTTTTGAAACGTTTATTTGTGTCACCATGCAGAGGTACAAGCAAGGGGCTTACATAATACATTCATAATGTTCCACAAATACTTACTGGTGTTTTCGTTATATATCCATGTGTATAATATCAGTTAGGTAGCTAGTCCATCCATCCATCCATCTATCTATCTATTTATCTATCTAAGACTGTAATAAAGTGTCTCAATTACTGATTCTTAATAAAATTACCCAGGATCATCCTCTAGATTCTTCTGCAGAAGTTGAAAGATTTAGTTTTAGTCATTTTAAAGAAATTGTGCTGTTGCTTGTGATCATTTTGATGAGTTGCTGTACTATTTATCTAACGCAAAATTAAGAATAATGATTGACCTTAACCATCACAAGAAATCATTTTAGGGCTAAACTAATGAACTACTGTGAAATGATGTCTCATATCAATTTATTTTAGTTATACAAACCTTTCTGCACTCTTAAAAATAAAGGTGACACAGAGAGTTCTTTCAGTGATGCCACAGAACACGATATTTTATGCTGTATATGCTGCTACTGCTGCTGCATAAACTAAAACTAATCCACTTAACCATTGCTTCACCTGTTTTCCCCGTTTTGTACTATAATACTTTATACTAATGCTGTTTGCTATCCGGTGTCGAACAGAAGAGGATGGGTTCCCCTTTTTGAGTCTTGGTTCCTTTCAAGGTTTCTTCTTCTTGCTCTTAGGGAGTTTTTCCTTGCCACTGTCGCCATTAGCGACGTTAATGGGGGCTTTGGACCCGGATTTTTCTGTAAAGCTGCTTTGTGACAACGCCTGTTGTTAAAAGCGCTATGTAAATAAACTTTGCTTGCTTGCTATTTTAAATTAAACGGTTTGAAAGGTTCTTTAAGAAAACAAAAAGGGTTCTTTTATGGCATCACGCAAAGAAAAGATTTTGCATCTTTTATTTTTAAGAGTGTGGATGCATGAAGCATTTGTCATTCTATAAATATTGTCACTGTTTCCATTATTTTTTTCAGTGTAATTTAAAAACAGCAATTGGACCAATAGTTCACTCCATTCCCATACTCTCTTCTTGCTTGTCTTTTTGAGTTTGTTCTTCTCACTAAATCAAGTACACTTGAATTTTCAAACAGACAGTATAAACAACTAGCCTGGATTAAGTGATGAGGAAAATAAATAATTACAATTTGATTATTGAAGTACAAATGACAACAGGCCTTTCAGTGTAACAGTGACTATACGCTAAATAAATCTCTTTTATGTTTAGTGTTACTTTTGTGCAGAAGGTAAACATGCAGGTCAGAGATTGGAACCTGATTGATGTTGCCGACAGCATTGTTCTAATTGTTTAGTTTCACTGCTGGAAAGAGCAGGAAGAGCTGATTAAGTAAAAAGCGCTCTACAAACAGTTCTGTACTGTTATGTCACCAGGCTGCAGGAGGCGTCTTGGCCTAGTGGCCTCTGTGCCCTGATCTCCTTAGACAGTCAGTGAGAAATGTGCTGCAGTGAAGTTAAACAGCT